CATCCACAAGGTAATTAAATGGACCCCAGGGGGAGCTCACTGGGGTCAAGGCTGTCACAGCCCTGACAAGGTGCCTGGGGACCTCTGAGCTGATCGGGAAAGCTCAGCTCCTCTTCTGTGGTCCCTGAAGAGGCTGGCGGGGGGGGGGGGGGGCAGTAGTTCTGCTGCTGCCTGGTCTCATTGTTTTCCATTGCCAAATCTTAGAAGAGCTCTCAATAGCAAGGTTTCCCATTTTCCCAGGCCCTTGTTCTTCATAGCCACTTTTTGGAATTAATTCAACAAACAAACAAACCCAGACACTGTTCCCAGCACCCCTCAGGGTTAAGTTCCACAGCAATAGGCCCTTCCTTGCAGAGAAAGGGTCTTGCTTTTCGAGACTGTGTTTTTTGGGCCAACCTGGTTTCTGACAGGATCTCGAAGCCCATTCCATAGTCACATTTTCCCCCAGGCCCCCAGGAGGCCAAGTGCAAACCTTCCTAAGCCTGTGCACTCAGGAGAGGAGGAGGCTGGAGGGGAGAGGGTGCTGCTGCTGCTGCAGAGCCAGGCAATGGGGTGTATTCATTAGCGCCTCAAATCTCCAATGCTGAGATTTTAGCACTTGGAGAACTGGACTCCATCAATGGGCTTAGCAAGGCTGCAGGCTCTAGGAACTGAAAGGTGATGGTGAATTTTCCACAGCAACTCTACCATCATTTACCTCTTCTGAGGTGGGTGAGGGGATTGGCTTGGGGTACAATTTGCTATTCAAAGTCTCTTTGGATAGCTCTTAGTCTAGCGCCTTATGGCATAACATCTCCATTCTTTCCCCAACACTCAGTCCTTTCTGAGTCCTCCTTCCAAAAGGCAGTTTTCAAATCCAGAATTCAAGCGAAGAGTTGTGTGTCCTGAAATCTCCATCCAATTCCATCTTCCCATGATTATTGTTCTCTTGGGGCATCTCTTGCTGAAACACGGATGTTCTGGGGAGGTTTCTCTATAGCTGTGCTCAGAAAGCAGCAGGCAGGGACTGACTAAAAGACAGCTGAAGGCAAGCTCGAGGACCCAGGTAGAGAAGACGGAGAAACAATTGATAGACCGTTGGTGATCAAGGGCACAGCGCCCCCCCACAGGCAAGGCGGGACACAAAGCTGCCCACAGCACCATTCTTTCAGTCCCAAAGGCTATTTCCTTTCCTCACTTTCTGCAGTCTTAGTCTTCCCACCACCACCCAGAGCCCCTGGCTTTGTCTGAAAAAAAAAAAATAATGCTAACTAGCTCTTTAAAAAGGCTTCGTTAATGCCCTGACAAAGCGCTCACAAAGACACTGTTCACAGTGCCAAAGGAACACAGTGCTCCTGGTAGAAGGCCGAGGGGGCAGCCGTGGGAGCACTCGTGTGCAGCCAAGGATCTGGGCCCTTCTCCAGATCCTCAGCTCCCGCAGCTCCCAGCCTTCCCCTCCAGGACCCCTCAATAGGTTGGTCACCCAGGCTGCCCCCACAGGACACACAGAGCTGCAGCGGGACACGGTTCCTAGAGAGGTGACTTCTGAGAAGATGGCCCCAGGGAGGCGGATGTCAATCTCCTCTGCAGTGAGGGAGCAGGAAAGAGGTGCAGAGAGAGAGGCCTCCTGGAGACAGCATAGGCCAGCTCTTCCTCCTGGGCCCAGACTCCCATCTGTGGAGATGGGAATCTCATGGCTGCCTGTTTGCGCTGTTCTTTGCTGTGAATTGAGAGGCTCGCCTGACTCTGAGCTCTTAAGAAACACTCAGTCCAGCTCCTTCATTTTGTTCTCACAAACTCTCTGGGAGACAGCAGGACCTGGGCCAGGGCAGAGGGCTTGGCCTGCTGCATTCTGGGCTGCGGCCCAGGCAGACACTGTGCTCCAGTGCTGTTGGTTCACCAAAGAGCCTTTTCTTGCCTGGCTCCTGCCCCATCTGAATCAGGTCTTGTGTTCTTTTTCTCATCACAGAAGGGAGAGATCTGTTTATTTATGTGATCTTTTTAATGCCTCTTGCCCCATTCAGTTGTAACTTCCACCCGGGCAGGTGGCTTTCTCTGCCTTCCTCTGCACTCTATCCCCAGCACCTCACACACAGTGGGGACAGAATCTTGGTTCTCGAAGACAGCCTGTGAGAGAAGTCCTGGACCCTTTTACAGAAGAGGAAAGGATGGCTTCAACCACTGAAATAACAAACGGCAAAGCAAGGTGCAACGTCATACTCTACTACATTTCTAACAGAAGATCAAGACACTCCAGAGAATCCCTTAGGCTGAAGACCTTCGTTTAGGTTTCTCTGAATCTGACGTTCTAGAACCAAGTGCCCCAAGACCATTCCCTGAGAGAGGAAGAGAGGGGAATGGGTCCCTTCGGGACTGAGGGCAGCTCAGAGCAGAGTGTCCAGCCTGGCCAAGAGTGGGCCCACGGGCACCAGCAACCAGAGCAGGTGCTAGCCCTGCAGTCTGGGCAGGGAAGGTGAGGCTGAGGGGCACCACAGGCAGGGCGGCTTATCAGTGACCGGGGAGGCAGGGGAAGGACAGGAATATTAGCGGGGACTAGCCACCAGGGTACAGGGAGCCCAAAGCCAAGGGTCTACGACAGTGGCGGAGAATCCATGGCACGCATGTTGTTTTTCTTTGAAGACAAAAAGTGTTGAAGGTATGAGTTGTTTGTCCTAAACTAAAACCTCAGCATTCGGGTTCAGTCCCTAGTCCCGGCACTTTGTGCTGAATAAGTGGGTTTTGGTTGCAGTTTGGACCTCATCTCGAAACAGTTTGCCATCACTGGTCTAGGGAATGTCCTTGCCATGTGAAAAGGGCCAGGGCCTTGAGAATAAACCATATGACACTCAGTCTCAGCTCTGGCAGTTAGCAGCCGGGACAAGTGACTTCTGCTCTCCTAGTCTTAGCTTATTCATCTAAACAGTGGTGGCAAACCTATGGAACCTGTGCTGCAGTGGGCTGTTTGTCACCTTTAAAAGCTCTACAAGGTTCATCATTACTGATCTAAAACACAGGGTGGTGCCAACCCCTCTACATCTGGAGGAGGATGAAGATTTGCTGGCACAGTACCCAAGAGAGTAAGCAAAGCATCCAGGGATGTTTCCTTAAGCCACAGCTGAAGGCCCACTCAGACTTCAGGAGAGACTGAATCTGCACCCACTTAGTAGCACGTCTGAGCTCACAGCCAGGAACACAGTCAGCGCCCATAGCTCAGCTGCATAAATCTGTCAGACGGGGCACATGAGTGTGTTGCCATGTTCCTACCATTTCCCTGCTATCATTCATTCAGTTTTACACTGATTCATTCAGCCCAAGCTGCACCATGGAGCAAAAGCACGTGCTCCATTCACTGTGTTAATTTAGACATTGTATACATTTTCTTAACTCGCAGTTTGTTCATCTGTTAAGTGGCCGATACATGGAGCAAGCACTCCCTCAGTGTTAGCTGTTAGGATCAGGAAGAGCCTACTGCGTGGCAGATACTGGGGCTCCGGGGCCTGGCAAGTCAGGCATGCTCCCCGCTTCCCCAGAGCTCTCAGTCTAGCACAGACAGTGGAGCCAACGACCAGTCACAAGACAACATGGCAGAGGTCCAGTCAAGGAAGCTCAAGGCATCCTAACCTTATAGCGAGATTTCCTGGGTGCTGAGGGCAAGGAGCAGGGGAATATACATAAAGCAAAAAAAGACAAAAGGTGATATATTTGACCATGGCAGGTGCAAAGAACTAGAAGAATATCCATATGGTGAGAGAGATGGAAGAGGGTGACAGAAGGGGCCAGAGAGGCCAGCAGGACCCAGGCCATCCGGACAACGGCAAAGGGAAGCAATGCTCCCAAAAGAGCAGAGAAGACCCAGGCCCGGGAACTCAGTCCTTTGCAGTGGATTGCCCTCCACTCCTCAACATGTCCCATGATTGTGAAGGGACCAGGATTCACTCTAATGAACTCCCCACGTGGAGTGCTCTGAGCATTCCCAGGAAGTCCAGGGGCCCCACAGAGAAATCTCCCCGGGAATCTCCAGAGTAGAGAGTAGGGAGAAGAGCTTCCATCCTTGGAAGCCATGTAGGACTGAGCCGTGGCCTCTCCCCCCACAGCTAACAGAGTAGGGATGATCTGGATGCGAACACCTGAGAATTAAGAAGTCGTGATGGAACCACTTGGGAGTGAAGACTCTCAGTCACCAGGACTGGAGAAAGGAATGTTGTGGCCTGGTTCTTTCCTAACCTATAATGTGTACAGGAGGAAATATGTTTTAAGAATATCAAAGTACCTTAAAAGCATTTTCCCAGCTCAACACTAAAATGATTTTTTTATTATCTTTATATTGCATCCTCCCTCTCTCCGCCACATCCCACTGAACTCAACACAAAGTGGCTTCTTTTATCTGTCTTTTGTCTTCATTCCAGCTGATTACAACCCTGGAGCCCAGCTTTCATCTGCAGGAGGAAGTCCTTGGGCACAAAGCTGTCTTCCCAACCCAAGCACAGAAAGCACCACTGAGCTGGGAATATGATAGGGAGAGAGTGACCCTGCACAACACAAATCTCAGGCAAAGTGGGGACCAAATTCAGAAATGAAGTGCTCAGCTTGACTCTTCCATTGTCTGTAGCCAGCATCACAAAGGTGGGTACAAGGACTTGGATGCCTTGGCAGAGCTTTTAAAGACCAAGAGCCACTGGCAAGTCAAATGTAATGGCATTTCAAGCTAAAGTAATTAGATTTTTAATAAGTATCCTAAACCTCCTCAGGGGTTTAGGGTTGTGAGCCAGGGTGAAGAATTACACAGAGGCCCAAAAAGTAGCTAAACCTCAAGAAGAATTTTACAGGGAGCAAATGCACGCAGCTGCCAGAGCTGCATCACACACCCTTGCAGCTTTGCCAAACAGCAAACAACTTATGCCCAAGACCCTCACTCAGCTGTGTCTCCCTCTCCTGTATCCATTCACTTCCCAGCCCTCCATCCTACCTCCACGTCTGATGTTCTGACATCCTAAGAAACTGGCCCCCGATTTTTTAAATACCTGTATCCTTGACTCCAGTGTTTGGAGGGTTATTCACAATCAGTTGATGAGCAAAGCTGACCAAGACTCTGGAGAAGACAGCCCAGGTGTGGATGAATAAAAAGCTCTTCTGTGCACTTGTTAGTGGGCCAGGGGTTGGAGGATTTCGGGTGCTCTTCGGTAACCTCCGAGACAGCCTCCTGGCAACAGCAAATACTCTCAGCACGGTTTTGAAACACCATAGGAGGAGGAAGGCTCTTTCATTAAATAATAACCAGCTGGAGATAAGGCCTGCTAGGCTGAGCCTGGTCAGCCAATCACATGCTTCCTTCCAACTGCAAGGACAGGCAGGCAGGGCTTCTGGAGTCAGTTCCAGGGCTTGTTACAATTTAATGATGCAGTGGGTGGTGTCTTCTTGGCCCCGGCTGATGGGAATTTTCTAGCTGGGAGTGAAGCTTGGGCTCAGTAACCTCATTCACAGAGAGGTGTCTGTCTAGGGGCTGCAGCAGAGCATCCTGAGCAGTTGCAGGGAGCTGCAGGCTCCCAGCCTGGCTTCCTCTAAATTGGCCAAGAGAGTTCTCGGCGCTGCCAGGAAGCGAGGTTTCAGTGCAGCTGACTGGTGCTGGAGTCACCGGGGGTTGAGCACGTTTGACACCAGATGTGTGGCTCGGAGTGTGACTCTGAAGAGCCCGAGGAAACCCCAGGGACTTGCTGTCACAGGATGGAAATGTTTTCCATGCTATTTCTTATTTCTAGTGCCTACTATAGTAACTTGGGGCTTTTTTGTCTCTTTATCCTTTGTAGCCACCCTTCCTTTCTAAGGTCGTCATTCTTCTTTTAGGCTAGAAGGGGAGCTGTAAAGAGGGTGGGCTCTGGGGCTGAACAGGCCTGCAGGTGGATAATGGCCCTACATCTCGCTAGCCCCATGACCTGGCGGAGTTGCTCAAAGAGTAAATGTTGAAGAAGTCGCCCCACTTCCTAGCAGGCGCATACAGGCCCTGAGAAAATGTCAGTAAACCCTTACATGGTGTCGATACATCAGGACTCGATATTTAAAGGAACTTAAGGGGGACTCTTCTGTTATGTGAAGTACAGTACAATCAACACACATTTTTGTCACACCTTTTATATTAGAGAATATGTTCTAGAGGCCAAAGTAAGGCAATCCTGGTGTGGCTCCCTGCCCTCATGAAAGCTATCACAGTACAGTAAGGGGGCATTAGAGAAGTCCTTAGTACAATGGAACCAGCAGCAGGGCCAGGGAGGGGGCTTGTCCTGAAGGGAGTGAGCCTGTCCCGAGAGAACAAGGAAAAGTCCCTCAGTGGTAGACAGGCACTGGACCAACACTGTCCCAGGGAACTCCCTACAGGACTAATTCGGGGGGGGGGAAAGAAAAAAGAAAAATCAATATTGTCACTCCATCTTAAAAATTATAATAGCCCCCCTGAGCTATAACTCACATACTGTAAAATTCAATGACTTCTAGTGTATTTACAGAGTTGCACAGCTATTAGCAGAATCAACTTTCAAGTACTTCTAAGAAATATTAAGAACGATATTCTCCCCACTCATCCTCAGAAAACCCTTGTCCATGCCTAGCAATCACCCACCCAGTTTGTGTCTCCATGGATTTGTCTATTCTGCACATTTAATGTTAACTGAATCACAAATATGTTACCTTTGTGACTGGCTTCTTTCACCTATCATAATGTTTTCAAGCTTCATTTCTGTCCTTTTTATTTTTTTCCGGTACCAGAAATCAAACTCAGGACCTTGCTCTTGCCAGGCAGATGCAGCACCACTGAGCTAAATCCCTGGCCCTTCTTTCCTTTTTATTGCTGAATAATATTCCATGGTATGAAGACACCACAACTGGTTTATTCAGTCACCCACTGACAAATATTTGAGTAGGTTAGACTTTTTTGCTACTATGAATAAAGATGCTAGGGACATTCTTGTACAAATCTCTCTTCTCTTTGATCCACAAATCGACAAACCCAGAGCAGGAAACAAAACAGATGAGAAAACTCACCATCACCGGGCTGCCCTCCAACCAGGATTTCTAGTATCAAGGTACAGTAATAGCTGAACCTGACACTGGCACCAACTTTCACACACATAAAGTAGTCACCCATTAATCCTCCCCACTACCACACAAAAGAAGCTATTATCGTTATTGCCATTTCAAAGAGAAGGTCATAGAAAATCAGAAAGTTTGAGTAATTTACCAAAAGCTACCTGCCCAAAATTGAAGCCAGAAGAAAAAGCCAGAAGAACACCCTATGTTCCTTCTACTCAACCTCTTCACGCACAGAATAGCTCTCTTCATTCCTCCACGTAGTCAGCCTTGATTTTCAGGATGTTTAGTTCAAAGAGAAGGAGGAAGAAAAAGGAGGAGAAAGAAGAGAAGGAGGAAGGAAAGGAGGGAGGAAGAAAGGGAGGGAAGGAGGGGAAATGAATGAGGTCACCAAATGATTGCTATTGTTAGCATTCTAAAATTTTTACACGAGGTATCACAGTACAGGAGGGTGGCTATAAGGCTGAGAAAGATGAAGTATTGATTTCATCATGAGGCACAGAATTGGTTAACCAGCCACTGAGGACGCAAAGGCAGATGGGTACTGAGACCCAGATGCAGGCTAGGCCAGCTTCGCTTCTCTCCTAGCCCTGACCCAGGGCAGTGCTTCTGCAGGTATGTTGGTTGTTCACCAGGGAGAAAGGAGGGCTTTGGATGGGGTCACTGTGGTTTCAGGTGAGCCAGTGTAAGGATGGCCCCACACACAAGAGGGGGTGAAGAAGGGAATAAGTGAATATGAAAGTCTGAAGGTGCAGGGAAAGGGGGATATTAAAAGCCAAAGAGCAGCACAAAACCAGAGGACATGGGGAAATGTTCCACTGACAGGCTGGCCAGTTTCCCAGCATGACTCACCCACAGAAATGTTTCACCCCACCTATGGAGGCCATTTGATCAAGAGGAGACGTGCTGAGGGGAATGGTGTAGAAACATTGAACAGGGACATAGGTGTGGTGACTGGGAGCTAGAGAGTGTGTGGGTCTAGTTTCTCATCCCCTGTCCAGTCCCAAAGTCCGCAGCCCTCGTAAAGCCCACTAGAGAGGGGCCTCCCCAAGAGGAGGAGGAGAAAGCTCTCGGAGTGGGGGAGGGCCGGGCAAGGTGAAAAAAGGTGAAAAAAGGCCAGTGAAAAGCGGCTTTCATGGGGACTAGGGGTGACAGGATGGAGCAAGGGAAGCCCTGTGTCAGAGGTTTGAGATCACCAGGCATCTCAAGGCTCTGAGCCCCAAGATCAAGTCAACTTCATTCGATTACTATTGTAGTCAGGGTTTTGGCAAGAGAATACACTTACTGGGACACCTAATTTATAGGATTATTTTATAATAATCACCCAAAAGTCAAATGCAAAGGAGTGCAAGAGATTAACTGCACACTAGGGCCCCAAAGAATCCAGCCTGGATCCCAGCAATGGACACAAGTCCAGCTAAAGGGTTAGAGTCCAAGGCAATGTTCGCTATGAGTCCAGCCAGTGGCCTAGAGCCCACAGCAATGTCTTATTCTTGTCCATATTGAGAATCTGCACCTGGAGGTCCAAAGGCCAGTGGTGGAAGCCAGAAAACCTACGTTGGTGAGATGAAGGATTTGAGCCACCAAGCTGAGGGATCCACATTGGAGTCAGGAAGTGACGCTCACGGTGAAGATCAGAGCTCCCCTGACAAAAACAGCAGCCATTCCCAGGGACAGCAAGTCCCCAACTTCCTCCTCTGACATGAACAGCCTAGTTGGTGTCAGAAAAATCACAGCAGGCTTCTCCTAGAAAGTCAACACCCATGATCTTTCCCTCCAGTTCTCTTTTTGTGGCTGTTGACAACAATCCTCAGATGGATCTTCCACGCCCAGACCATGCTGATTCAGTTCAGCTGGGCGTTACAAGTTGACCATCAGTTAATCCACTTCAATTACTCTTTTACTTCTTTGGGGCCCGGACTTGCAGAATTCACTACACATCTGACAAATCACTGTCAGAAAAAGTCAGTTAGAAAAGCTCTCTAAGGGTAGGACAAGCTACTTCCAGGCCCTGCAGAGGCCTGGGATACCTATGATCTACTCTTGGAGCATCAAAGGTGACTTTAAATCTTCTCTCTTTCAGAGCAGTGGGAGTAGTGGACATCAGGTTTCAGGACAAGGCCAGCATGTGTCACTATGTTCTGCTCTTCATTTCCACCATGGTTTAGATCCTGGACTGATGTCTCTTGATCACATCTTCTCATCACAAAAATTCTACAGGGAAGGAAAACCCATTACAGAAAAGAAAAAAGAAAGAACAAGGTCAATTAGCTTGCTTGAGTTCACATAGTTAATTTAATATGTGGTAGAACTGGGTTTGAATCAAAGTCCATCTGACTCTAACATCCATGACCTTTCCATTTGTTTTATGTTGCCACTCATCAGAGAGTTCTTGGATTTATTTTCTGTCTCACAAGTTGCTACTCATTCCCATTCTCCTTTAGTGACTTTTCTAGCACTGCCAAAATCACTTGTGTTTGTGCTTGTGTGTGTGTGTGCGCGCGCGTGTGCGCTTGCTTTTAGCCATGTGGGTCCTGCACCTTCAGATAAGGATGTGGATTTAGTTGTAATTCCTTAGGGCTATGTAAACGTCTGTCCTTAGACAGGTGCCCTGTCATTGGTTTCCTATCATATGTCAGCACCTAAGCAGAGAAGTTGACTCCTGTGACCAGGACATTACCCTATTGTAACCATTTCTGACTACCTTGCCCTCAGATAGGTTGTTTATCCCAGAGAAGAATTTTCATACAAACTTCCATCAGTGGAGCCCCCAACAGTGATACCCATCAATGCACATGTCATGGCCAAACAAAAACCCACTTTAATTCATGCTAGACCTGTACTGTTGAGAACAGATCAAACTCCCATACACACACATTTGTCAACTGAACGTGGACACTACACAATTTGTCACAAATTCAAAAGCATCTTAGCACCAGGCAGTTACTGTAAGTAATAAAATTGGGTTTGATGTAGCTAAAGGGGAGTCCTGGGGTCTGGGGCCAAATGGGGCATCTACCACCTCCAGCCAAATATTGCCGTGGGAAAATGTAGGCCCAGTGTGGTAAGATCATTTTAACTTCAAGATCATTTAACTGGAAATATTAAAATTCATTGTGTAATCATCATTTTGTTTAAATTTGGCGACTGTTCAAAGAAATTAAATACTTTTCAGGTCAAAAATCCCACACAGATTAGCAAGATAAATTCAGCCTGTGGGCTACAGTTTATGTCCTCTAATGTGAACAAAATATGCATCTGCAGACAGGTATTTACTAACCTGGACAGGACAGAAGGTTCTAAGAGCACGCTGAGAGTCAGTCCTCCAGTCCCCCTGCATCCAAAGTCTCCGAGTGCTTAATAAACACAGGATACCAGGGAATCCCCCTGGAAGCCCCAGGGGCAGAAACCCAAAACGTGCATGTCAACAGGGGCCTCCCCTCACCTCAAGTAATTCAGATGTACACTAAAATT